TATAAGCTTGGTTGTTTCAGCACAAGCAAGGGCTGATTGTCATGCGATGCGGAGGACCATTTTCGTTATTTTGGCAAGAACAGGGACAGTTTTGTCCTGATGAGCTATTAGATGAATACCAGAATGTGTCACATGAAAAACCACTGATCTTTAACCCAGCTATCTACTTAACCAAGCCTAGAAATGAATAGTGAATAAGGGAAGAGCAAAGGCCAGTTTACTGTCATTACAAATTACAGAAACTGTTAACATCTGCAGCAAAATGAACTCTGGGAATTACAGGTACTATCCAGTAAGTCAGTTGAGGGTACAGAGATTTAGGAAAACTATGTATGCAGATGTGAGATCACCAAATGTGTGTGTCGTGTATATAGCGTTACTATTGAAAATTGGAACATTTGCATAAAAAGACATAAAGATTTTCTGAATCTTTTCCCAGTACTTTTAATGAATCCTGAGAATGAACACCACATGTAAGGAACACTCCTTTAGAATAATCGATTGATAGTTATCATTAAATAGAAACGTAAATACTAAATCAACAGAAATAATAAATCTATGCTCACTGTTTTATCTTTTTTTTTTCCCCAGGAGTAGTCTTGGGGACACTGCTGCATGTACAGCTAATATAAACATTTATACTGAACTTCTAGATGTTTGAAAAACAAATACTGTAAAGATCAGTAACATTTTAAAATGATCAGTTATGGGAATTAATGCTTACAGAAAAACACCATTCTTTCTTGCCCTGCTAGTAGAATTGCATTGTCTCCCTACAGTCTTGTTAGCTCATACTAACTGAAATGCAAATTCTTTCCAACTAATTGGACCTCGTTGAACGTACATGTACAGTACATAGTTATATGCATGTAGATTTTTTTTAGTAAATTCCTCTGTAATTATTTTCTTGATTAATATCTAAAGCAGAGACGTGGAACAAAAATCTCTTTAAAGAGTTTACATATTATTGAACATTAAAAAGATAGTAACTGTTGCATGTTTTAACAGCTTAATTAATAATACAGAATAATTGGAACAAAAAGAAGAAAATATTTTTTCAATGTTTAGTCATTTTGAACTATTTGCATTAACCCTTTGACTGAACTAATTAACACTTAAATGATAAGAATAATGGGATTTAGAAAAAATAAGATATGTTTACATTACATAGCACATTCTGCTGGCTAGATTTCTGTTGGCATCACCTGGGCTTTCTGTAATCACCTTTCCTATCCTTTCTTGCCATATGGTGCATTTCTGTATCGGTAGTTTTAAGAGGAGAGAAGAAATCAACAATGTTATATTTTTAAAAGAGTCACAAAGCCACACGTAATGCAATTGTCTTTAATAATAATAAGTATTAGTTAAAATGAAAAGAAAGAAAAAACTCTTAACTCACATACAGTCACAAAGCACTTAAAATTCTCAAAAACACAAGTAGACAACTGCAACTGCACTGTGTTTTAAGTTCCATTAGAACCTGGATTCTGTAGCCACCTCTTCTGTTCAGCACCCGGGTATTCCCAGCAGCTGAAAATGTAAAATAATTTCACAGATCCTTTTATCTTTCAGCACAAATGCCATTGGATAGCAGTAAAAATACTTGCAGAACATATTCCTGATTAAAAATCTATTGAAAATGAGGGGGTTTTAATGCTTTTAAAAGGATTTGTTTTAAATGCTGTTAGAGCCCTTACCTTGTCTATACTGATTCTGACTCTCATATGAGTTAGCCAAAGGGGAGAGAAAAAATACTGTTCTGCTCAGTTTGTGCCAAACTTGTATACTAACAAGTAGTTCCAGTGCTTTCCACAGATGATTTGAAGAATATTTCTGCCTCCAAAGGAATTATAGCAATAAGCAGAAGACAATAGATTACAAAGGAAAGTCCTGGGTTCTAAGCCCAGATTCTGATTATTACAATTTTTGCTAATTTTCATGTCAATTTTGTTTCTTTTTTGTTTCTTTTTTTCCCCCCATATTGCTGTACAGTTAGAGGAGGCTTAATCTGCTACTGTAGGAGGTGTACTTCTGTTTTATTTTTCCTACAGTGATTACTTTTATCTCCTTAGTGACTACTACTTTTCATATCCCTGTTTGAAATTCAGTAAGTATTTGTTTTCTTGGTTTTATATGCTGGCATTATTGTGCCAAACACGATGCTACGTAGGCACCATAAATTTAAGGATGACCTGAGCTAGACTGGAACTGGCAGACTAAATTTTGTTTCTTTTCTGTCATGTTACTTAGCGAAGGGGAAATATTTCTTTCTTTAAAATGTTCTGAAGCTGTGATGTAGAAGTCATGCATTTGACAATTAAATGATAGTCCTCCTTGATACAGTGATTTGAATGTGCTTAGATTTCATGTAAGGTTGTAACATTCCGGCCAAGATTTCTGCTTGGGAAGACCAGATTTGGATGTATTAGCTAGTCAGCCTAATAACCCTGTACAGACTGTATTGATTTTCTAGGAGAGAGTTTATGAACTAAATAAACTTGGAGTTGGTGTCTTAATAAACTGCTTCTCTCAGTCTGTCACATTTAGTTACTGAGCTCTGCAGTTTAGGGGAAAAAAAGGCTAATTCTGTTACAGATTGTTCACAGCAGGGTCTCCAAATTAGCCCTTTGTTTTGTAATGCCACCTTGCTTGGGCTCGCTTTGAGCACATTTCTCAGTTTTACCCTAATGAGTTGCA